TTTACTTAGCTTCTAGCTCCAAAGATTGTGACATACCATATTTGACCACATTTGATTTTAGGACCAAGGATAATAAAAGTGCTGGCTGCAAATGCATCTATCCAATTTCAAAATTTAGAAATTGAAAGCTGGATCTGGGTTTAACAGATATAGCCCCCTGCTTTCAGGGTAACTGTCTCAGAACCTGAGGAAGACAGAGTAGCCTGGGATAACCTCTTAGCATTCTGATATACGCAACAACATGGATGAGTCTCGAACACATTATGCTAAGTGAAAAAAGCCAGACTTGGGCTTCCCTGGTGGCGCAGTGGTTGAGAGTCCGCCTGCCGATGCAGGGTACACAGGTTCATGCCCCGGTCCGGGAAGATCCCACATGCCGCGGAGCGGCTAGGCCCGTGAGCCACGGCCGCTGAGCCTGCGCATCCGGAGCCTGTGCTCCGCAATGGGAGAGGCCACAACAGTGAGAGGCCCGCTTACCGCACAACAAAAAAAAGCCAGACTTGAAAGGCTACACACTGTATGATTTCATTGATATGACATTCTGTAAAAGGAAGAATTGTAGGGACAGGAAACAGATCTGCCAGGAAATAAAGGTGGGGAAAGGAAATTGTTGACAAGGAGCTCAAGACAACTCTTTAGAGTGATGGAAATATTCTGTATCTTGATTATGCTGATGGTTACTTGACTGTGAGCATTTGTAAAAATTCATAGAACTGTACACCTAAAAAGGATGAATTTTACAGTACATAAATTATACCTAAATAAACTAACTATAAAGAAAAGAGTGTTCCTGGCGATACTGTGTGCATGCAGAGAAAGGCAGATTTTATAAATTTTTGCTGCAGAGTCTCCCATTTAAATAAACACCAGCAGTTCACACAGGGAGAACAGGCAGTGTCATTTCCCTGCTGCCACCTGCACTTCCACTTGTGACCTGAGCTCCATCAGCCACAATGATTGTCCCACTCAGAAAGGGCCAGGGGTCAGGAGAAGAGAGAAGAGGCGATGGGGTGACGCAGCAGGCCAGCTCTGTGGGCAGCAGAGGGGGGTGGGTCAAGCCAAATGGTTGATCCCTGAAGCCGCTCAGTCATTCCCCCAGTTAATTATCTGTCTGCTGATTCATGAGTTGTGGTTCCTGTGGGCATGTTTCCTGGCTATCCCTGCCAACAAGGGCAGAAGGAGTCTTAGGGCTGGGAGGGGATGATAACCAGAGATCCTGAGTGGGGTGGGGAGTTGTAGAGGGGGAATTTCTACTAGGAAATTCCAGAGTCATATCCAGACTCCCCCTTGTCACTGTTGCCTCCTTGCCCCAATTATGCTGTGCCCAGGAGACCTCAGCCGCTCACACTCACGATTTTGAAGGTGGTAAAGAAGAATGCTGCCCTCCTGTGTATATTCTCCCAGGAGGTGGGGGAAAAAGCAAACACTTCACAGAGGATCCCCTGAGTTTCCAGCACCCTCAGAGCAGAGGTCTAAATGGTGCAAAAGTATAGAGGTCCAAATGCCCAAAGAACTCATGGGCTTGGCTGTATTCTAATATCCTCCAGAATGCCCCGATGGAGCACCTGAGGATCGTCTATGAATGAATACAGACATTCAAATACTGGGTATCTTAAGGTGAGGCACATCTCCTCTAGATGCCTTTTCATAGCTTTCCATAGGTACGTATTTTGCCACCTATGTGTCAGCCACTGGGCATAGAGTGTCAAACAAAATAGACATGTCCTTCTTCTCAAAACCTGTGAATGTATTTTACTTTCCTCTTTTCCCAGGGACAGAACTTAAGGTTTTCTCATGGATAAAGCAAACGTATGGGCCTCTCTTCCTCTTCGACTCTTCTGTGAATTCTTATTGCGACGGAGCGGCTGAGATATGCCAAGCCACAAATGCAGAATGGGTTGAAATAAGGAGGAGTCCCCTGTCACATAGGCATGGGAAAAGGGATCCCATGGGTCTCATTTAGGAACCTGGATTGTATTCATGCATGAAGCAGTAGCAGCCTTACCTCCAATACATTGTAGTTACCAAGGATAGGAAGAATAATGCCATTTATTGAAAACTTTTTTTGTGCCTTCATCTCATTTAACTGGCACAATCATAGAAGTATTATTTCCTCCACTTTACAGATGAGGAAACTGAGGACCCAAGAGATTAAGTCACTTGCCCAAAGTAAGACAGATAATAAGAGGCAAAATCAAGAATTAAACCCACATCTGACTGGCTTTAAATCATAGCTGTCCCCTTCCCCAGCCAACAAGGCTTCCTCCTATGTCTCTCCAGGCTCTGAGGGCTCCTGCAGAGGGTTTCAGTTGGAGAGTTTCCAGGATATAAATCAGGAGGAGAAATCAGCACCTCAGCTCAGAACTAACCAATTTAGATGGTGACAGCAAACAAAACTTCTCACTCAGTAGGTCTCAGATTAGAATAAAGAACCATATTTGGGGGCTTCCCTGGTGCCACAGTGGTTGAGAATCCGCCTGCCAATGCAGGGGACATGGGTTCGAGCCCTGGTCCGGGAAGATCCCACATGTCGCGGAGCAACTAAGCCTGTGCGCTACAACTACTGAGCCTGTGCTCTAGAGCCCGCGAGCCACAACTACTGAGCCCGCGTGCTGCAACTACTGAAGCCCGTGCCTAGAGCCCATGTTTTGCAACACGAGAAGCCACCGCAGTAAGAAGCCCGCACACCGCAACAAAGAGTAGCGCCTGCTCGCTGCAACTACAGAAAGCCCGTGTGCAGCAACGAAGACCCAATGCAGCCAAAAATAAACAAATTAAATTAATAAATTTATATAAAAAATAAAAGAACCATATTTGGGGAAGCCACAAGACCCAAGAGTTCTTGAGTGAAGCTGAAAAGATCACCTTTGCACATAAATTCCAAAACTCAAGTCTACGCTCAAACAACCTCTCTATTCCCCATACGAGACTCTCCCACTCTGGGGTGGCCTCTCTGTGCCACCGCCACCCAGTTCTGTCTCTGTCCCTTCAACACTGTGTATCCCAATATAGCTCTCCAACTCTCATCCTGCATCTGCTTCCCAGGGATCTGATGTTACCTGCAAGCCAGCCCCCAACACCGAGATGGGGGATTTAATGACAATTGCAACTGCTTTTATGGGGGGCTTATTACTCTGGAGGTCTTCTCTAGAGCCCATGCTCTTAAATATGACTCTATCCTGCCTCTCAGAGGGAGTCTGAGGCTAGCTCAGTACAACCTATCACCACTTCTGGAATCACCCCAATCACAACAATGAATCTGTGAACAGATCCCCAAGAGGATATTTCATGCAAACTTAGGTATGTCGATGCAGTGGAATCCTCTACGTATTATTGAAAAAAACCCCAGATCGACAAAAGGTATACTCAGGGGTGGAGAAAGAGACACCAAAATAACAAATACGCTCTTCATTTTCACTAATTGATCCAAGCACCATGCTAGGCTCTATCTTGTGTTACCTTACTTACTTCTAAAACTGTAAGAAAATATAATGATTAGATTCAGAAATCATTCTGAAATTCAGGAAGCTGTAGATGTGGAAAAAAAAAAAAAAAGCAAAAATGTTTTAAGTTCATGGAAGCAGGCATCTCCGTAGGAGACACCTGAATTGCCTCTGGATTTCTCCATTCAGACAGCATCTGAACCAAGGCTCTAACCTCTCCCAGGGCTGAATGCTGGAGATTCATAACTCCATGCCGTAGTCATCAGGCTGCTCACTGCAGGCTAAAGACATCAGCTGACCTGTTTGAGCATCTGTCACATGGGAAGCTTCAGCAGTAATAACTTAAACAGCCCCCTATATATTATCTCTAACTCCTTCATCAAGTTATGGGTCATAAATTGTGATGATTTCATGAGTGTATACTTATCTCCAAATTCAAGTCATATACAGCGTTTTGTACGTCAATCATACCTCAATAAAGTGGTTTTTTTAAAATGATGCTGTTGCCCTCTCCTGCACAATCTCTTACACATGCACGAGTCTTGAAGGAAGTCATCAAGTATTTATGAATAGCTATCTTCGAAATGGCCTTAGCAATAAATCTTACTTTTTAAAAAATATCCTCTGCAGGAACTAAGTTGCCCTACAATGAGTACTACTCTTTCCACTAAAAGTAGGTATATGCACACTTGTGCGTCCTCTGCAGAGAAACACAGAGGACCAGGAGCCAGAGTTCTCCCTGGGAAGGTCACCCAGGCTCCAGAAAGATCACGGGCAGCACCCTTGGGCTGTGCTCTGCTCTGCCCCTCGCAGCACCAAGGAGGCCGAATGCCAACTGCCTTGGCAGCTAATAGTGTGTGCAGCAGCAGGAGAGACAAAGCCAGGGAGCCAAGCCAGCTCCAGGGACCCCTGGCGTAGCAGCTCGCATACACTGGAGATTTTTCGGATGCTGGGCTTGTCCCGGAAGCAGAGGCACCGCTGCCACCCGGGGACACTGCAGGAGGCAGAGCCCTCATCCTCCTCCGAATCGTTCCCGCGGGGAGCCACCAAGCAAAAACCAAACAGAAACTTGGGAGAAAGTGTACACAAAGAGAAAGGGGAATGTCGAGTAACCGGCAAACCCGGGGGCGCACAGACTCTCATCCGAGAAGCTACAACCGCATCCCTCTGCCAACGCGCGGGAACAGCCCCGGGAAGCCCCAGCTCGCCTTGGCTTCCAGAGCCAGTCGGCCTTCGGAGGGCCGGGACCACCTGCGATACGCGCAGCCGGGGCTGAACTCGGGGCTCAGAGATGCGCCCACCTCACCGCGTACGTTGAGACCGCCCGGAGCAGGCGCCTAACCTGGCTAAGGGCTTCGGTGTCCCGGCGGACCCACCCCTAGGTAGCCTCTCGCCTTTCCCACAGCGGGGCCCGGAAGGTCCCCAGCTCCGGGCTCCGACAGCCCCAGGCTGGCCCCGCGCACTCGGAGCGCAGCCGCGCAGGACCCGCCCGCACGGTTTCCCCGCTCGAAGTCTGCACACTTGGCTGCGTCCCCGCCGCGCGGGAGCCTCACTCACCTCCGACGCCGACGCCCGCCAGCGCCCCCAGCACCAGCACAGCGGCCCACAGCGGCAGCGCTCGCATCTCGTCCGCTGGCCGCCGCGCTCCGCCTCGGCCGCGTCCTCCAGCCCCACAGTTAGCAGCGGCGCCCGCGGCCGCTTTTCCCGTGGCCGAAGGGGAGGGGACGCAGGGGGTGGGACGCAACGGGGCGGGCCGTGGACTTGCGCTTCCTCCCCTCTGGCACTTTTCTGGACCCTCCACCGCATGGGGGGAAGTGAGAAACCGCCGCTCGTTTCTCGCCCCTTCGGCTCAGCCGGCGAGGATCGCCGGCCGATACGCAAGGCAAGACTGGGACCGGGGAGAGGGGGGCGGGGGTCGAGGTCGCATCTTCCGTAGACATCCTGGTCCCAGGGTGCGCGCTGGGCACTTGGAATACTTAGAAAAACCAGGAGCCTCTGGCACTTTTCCCTGGAGACACCCACGCGGCTTTCTCTTTCCCCTGAATTCCTTGGGCACTTGCCCTCTGTACCTTGAGTTTTGGTCATTCACACATTCATTTAATTGACAAACCTGCTGAGTGCCTACTCTGTGCCAGGCCCCGGTTTAGTCCTTTATTATTCACTAATTTTTATCTTGGGTTGGTTCGGTTTTCAGGTAAACTGTAAACCTCTTGAGGACAGGACCACATCTCAAGCTGTGTAAGCACTTGATGTGCAGAAAGGGCCTTTCTCTACAAATACTTGCTTGCACAGGGTAAGTATCTGATAAACGTTTCAAGACACAGTCAATATACTACCTCCACTCAAACTCACAGGCTTTGGAGCTTTATCCTACTCTCTTCAAAGGCCTCCTGCCTCCGCCGAATCCTACCTATTGCTCTCTGGGTCCTCCCCAAACTAGAAACTTCAGGAGGCTCAAAGGGGCAAAATGCTAGGGCTATGAGCAGGAGGCCACCAGTGGCAGGGGCTGGTTCAGGCTGCCTCGATGGGAAACTCTAAGGATGATTACAAACAAGGCCTGAAGACTTCCCTGGTGGCGCAGCGGTTAAGAATCCGCCTGCCAGTGCAGGGGACACGGGTTCGAGCCCTGGTCCCACATGCCACAGAGCAACTAAGCCCGTGCGCTACAACTACTGAGCCCATGTGCCACAGCTACTGAAGCCCGTGCGCCTAAAGCCTGTGTTCTGCAACAAGAGAAGCCACCGCAGTGAGAAGCCCATGCACCGCAACGAAGAGTAGTCCCTGGTCGCCACAACTAAAGAAAGCCCGTGCACAGCAACAAAGACCCAACACAGCCAAAAATAAATAAATGAATAAGTAAATTTATAAAATAAAAAAAAAAAAAGGCCTGAGGCATCAGGCAGGATTTGGACATCTCTCCAGCTCTTGGGCTCCCCTAAAGGCTTTCAGGCTGCCCCTGGGCTTCCCTAAGCCCTCTCCTGAGACACACAAGATACCTGAAAACTGGCCCTGCCTCTGATGTCCAGCCTCATCTCCCATCCTAGTCCAGGAAGATACTTAGCATTCCCGAACACGCCATGCCTCTCTGTCTGACTGATCTTACTTCCTTTTTCCACCTGGAAAATTCCACTTCTCTTTCAAAACATCTCAGATGTCACTTCTTCCATGTAATCTTATGTGATATCCCCCTTCCTTCTGCCCCACCCTCAGCAGAGATGGGCATTCCCTCCTCAGACCTCCCAAACACTAGGATACACCAAAAGAATAGCACACATCAGCAGAAGTGTCACTAGCAATTTGCAAGGAGGCAGCGGAGGAGCCAGCCCACAATGGGTAGATGGGCTTCCTGACCTGAGGACAATATACCTCTCCTAGCTGCTGGAAGGCCTCTAGGTCAGAAGCCATTTCAACAGTGTTGCCATTGCCCTGGTGCAAAATCCAGATCACACAGCCTGGTTACATCTCTGCCTCGATATTTACTTATGTGTTTAATTCCCATATATATATAACCGGTCTCCCATTCACCTAGGTGTCTCCTCAGCCTAGCTCTGCTGGTGCCAACCACTTGGGGTGGGCACCGGCCCAGAAAACATGCCATCCAAATTTCCAACCCCTTCAGCCTGAAGAACTTTCTTTAGCACATCTTGTAATTAAGGTTCACTGGCAGCAGATGTGCTCAACTTTCATTTGTTTCATCCTCATTTTTAGTGATATTTCTTATATAGAGATTTCTAGATTAACAGGGTTTTTTTTTCTTTCAGTACTTTAAAGATGTTGTCCCACTGTTATCTTGGCCTCCACTGTTTCTGATAAGAAGTCAGCCATCATTTATTGTATTTTATTTATTTATTTTTGGCCGCGACACGCAGCTTTTGGTATCTTAGTTCCCTGACCAGGGATCGAACCCTGGCCCTCGGCAGTAAAAGCACAGGGTCCTAACCATTGGACTGCCAGGGATTTCCCATCATTTACATTCTTGTTCCCTTGTCTTTTCCCTCTGGCTTTTTTTTTTTTTTAAATCATTTACACTTACAGAAAAGTTCAAAAATATTAGAGTTCCCTTTTATTCTTCAGCGTTTCCCCTACTATTAACATTTGGATTACCATATTGTAATTATTGAACACAGGAAGTTAACATCGATATGATACTATTAACTAATCTAGACACAATATTTGAATTTTGCCAGTATTCCACTAACGTCCTTTTTTTGGTGTAAGATCCAATCCAGGATCCCATATTGTATTGTCATCATGTCTCCTTAGTCTCCTTCAATCTGTGACATTTTCTCAGTCTTCCTTTTCTTCTCATCACCTTGACACTTTTGTGTCAATTATTAGGCCAGTTATGGTATAGTATGACCCTCAGTTTGGGTTTGTCTGATGTTTTCTCATGATTGTATTGAGGCATTCTATACAAGAATATCACAAAAAGTATGTGCCTTGTCATTACATTATATCAAGGGGTACATGATGACAATACATCTTATTACTTACAGTGTTAACTTTGGTCACATGGTTAAGGTGGTGTCTGCCAGGTTTCTTCACTATAAAGTAACTATTTTTCTCTTGCTCTTTGTAATTAGTAAATACTTTATGAGAATATAATACTGCAATTCTATGCAAATATCCTGTTTCTCTTCATACTTTCACCCACTAATTTTAGCATCCATCAACGGTTCTTGATTGCAATTCGTTAGTGTGATGGTTGGTTAATAGTGATTTTCCACTTCCATTTTTCCTTCTACAGCTATTAATTGGTATTCCATAGTAAGGAAGACCTGCACCCTTCTTCCTCACTTTTAAAATTCAGTTATTTATTTATATCAGTATGAATTCATGGGTATTTATTTTATTCTATGAGTTATAATCCAATACTATGATTTATTTTGTTGCTCAAACTATCTCAGTTTGACTCTAGCTGCTTTTAATGTACTCTTTATCTTTGGTTTTTAGCAGCTGGACTGTAAGATGAATAAGTGGTTTTCTTCATATTTATCCTGCTTGAGGTTGGTGAGACTCTTGGATATATAAGTGGTTTATTTTTCACCAAATATAGGAACTCCTTAGCCATTATTTCTTCCAATATTTTTTCTGCCCATTCTCCCTCTCCTTACCTTCTGAAACTCTTCTGAAACTCCAATTACCCATATTTTAGATGTTCTGAAACTCCAATTACCCATATTTTAGATGTTATCTAAAATAAATTGTCCCACAGGCCACTGAGGCTCCAGGTTTTTTAAATCATTATTTTTGTTTGTTTTTCAGTTAAATAGTAATCTCTCTTTAAGTTTCCAAACCCTTTCTTTGGAACTCTCTAATATGCTGTTAAGCCTAGCCATGAAATTTTTCAGACATTGTGTTTTAAGTTCTAGAATTCCCCTTTGCTTGTCTTTCATAGGTTCAGTTTCTCTGCAGAGATTCCCCATATCTTCAATAACTATGTCTATATTCTCCTTTAAGCCCTTAAACATGTTTACAACCACTATTCTAAAATTTCAGTCTGCTAATTCTGACTCATCTCAGGAAATGTATCACTTTACTGCTTTTTTACAATGGTGGGTCCCAAGTTCCTGCTTCTTCATATGTATAGTAATATTAGATTATATACTAAACATTGTGAATTATTCATTTCAGAGTGTATATTGTCTTCCCTTGAAGATTATTGAGTTTTGTTATATTAGGCAATTAAATTACTGGCAGGTTATCTTGACAGGTTGGTTTTATTCTTTTTCAGGGCTGGTCATTTTAAATTTTATCCTTAGTCTTAGGGTGTGTTTTTGTTTTTTACTGTAGAACATGGTCCTTACGCCTAAGGTATGGACTTTCTGTATCACCTAAGTACCCAAGTTGTTTAGTGAGATCTTTTCATTCTGACTGGGCTAAAACTCCAACATCTCTAAGCCATGTACAGCCTGTAGTGTTCTCGCCAGCTCTCAGCTGCTCTCTGCTAAGCCTTGTAGAGTCTCCTCATGTGCATGTGTAGCTCATCCCTTATCCAAAGACCATGGAGAGATCACCCATGCAGATTTCTGGGGCACCTCTCTGTTCAGCTCCCTCCTCTCTAAAAGCCTTTCCCACAAATTACAGCTTCCTCAGCAGCCCTGAACTGTAATCTATGCACTTCACCTCAGTGAGACCATCATGCACTTATTAGGCTCCACCTTCTTGCACTGCAGTCCAGAAAGTTCCCCCAGGCAGAAAGCTCGGCAGATGTAGGGCTCATCTCATGTGTTTCCCTCCCCTCAAGGATTATAATTCTGCTTTGTCATATTCAATGTCTAAAGCAGTTTCTCAAATATTTTATCTAAATGTATTGTTGTTATCTGTGGAAGAGCAAGTCCCATACCAGTCACTTTGTCATAGTCAGAAGCAGAAGTTCTGTGATTATTTATTTTTCCACTCCACCTCTTCCACCATCACCTCTCTGTGGTAGACAGTGAGATCCTTGAGTGCTTATTATCTTTATATTCCCCAGTAGGCTCTCAGTAAAAAAAAGAATTTCTTCCTATTTTTGCCTTCTTAGCAGCCCTTGATAATTAATTTTAATAAAATATTAATTGAACAACGATGTCGGGGGATCTGAGTGTCTATTCTGTGATTTGCCCAAGTACCATACTCCCCAGGTGATAGGACTATGGAGGGGTATCCAATGCATGACAGATAGATCTTCTCCAAGATCCATTTAGGATGCAAGAGG